CTCTTCCGAGGAGATCAACCATATATGTATAGTGATGAACCAACAGCGTAATCCCATAATCTTGGCTCATGGAATTGAAATACGCAAATCCCTTTTCCACTACTCCAACATGGCTACAAGCGGATAAAAGCCCCATAAAAAAGTGATTTCATTAGGCGAAACCCCAGAGCCTTACATTTGTTCAAAACTCTTAATAGCTTCTTTACCTAATCCGTTTTCTACACAGCCAGCTAAAACAGTATTCCATGTTACAATATTTCTGTCTGGCATCTTTTCAAAGATGTAAAGACCATCTAGATTCCCACACTTGACGTACATTGTCATCAGCGCGTTGCACACGTCCAAACATGAATTTAGTCCAAGTTTGTGTATCAAAACACGAATTTGTTCCCCAAGTCTAGTTGCACCAAGGCACCCACAAGCACTTAGGGGGCTAATAATTGTTAATTCATTTGGTTTAGTTCCTCTGGCCAATATTTCAAGGAACAACTTGAAGGCAGTATCTACTTCCCCTGCTTGCTCATAAGCTGATACGATAGAAGTCAAAGATACCACATCACATTTTGGCATCTTATCAAAAATCATTCGAGCTTCTTTCAACATGTGATTGCACGGAAGACCAGTAATAAGCGAGTTCCAAGATACATAGTCTCTTGATCTCATTATACTGAAAACTTGTGACATGCCTTCAATGTTTTTGCACTTTCCATGCATGGAGATCAAGCCATTTCCGACAAACAAATTGAATTGGCACCTTGTTCTGATGGTAAGCGAGTGTATCTGTCAACCAATTTCAACATCTCCAGTGTTTGTACAAGCAAAGAGAGCACTAGAGAAACACGAATGGCTTAAGTTAGTTCTTGATCTATGAAGCTCAGCAAACAAATTCAAAGCTTCTCTGTATTGTCCGTTCTGTGCAAATCCAGATACAAGTGCTGCCTAAGAAGCAAAATTCCGGAGGGGCATTCTAAAAAACATATCCTTTCCTTCTTCAAGCATTCTGTTCCGGGCATATCCAGCAATCATTGCATTCCATGTAATCACGCTTGGATTGATAATCTCCTCAAACATACGTCTGGCTTCACGAATATTCCCATTCTAAGCATATGTAGTTATCATCGTCGTCCGTGTAGTAACTCCTTTCTCGCTAGCTCCCTCATACAACAAGATGGCATTATTCAATCTGCCACACTGCGAAAACGCTGTGATCATTGTAGTCCATGTGTACTCGTTCCTATCTGGCATTATCTCGAAAAGCTTTACAACACTGTCCAAGCTCCTGCTTCAAGTGTACGCATTCAAAATCGATGTCCCCACAACTACATCATCCTCATATCATATCTTTACACTCAATGTTCTCAAACCTTCCACCAATCGGAGTGCTTTGATTCCAGTCGCCGCTGATAAAGCAACAACAAAGATGGCCTGGTCCGGCCTCCTGCCACTCCTCAACATCATCAAAAATAGAATCTACGCCTCTCGATACTCGTTCGTCTTGACATACCCCGAAATCATAACCATCCAAGACACATAATTCCTCTCCCCCATTTGATCAAACATCTCACGAGCTTTAGTCATCATATCACAACGACAATATCCCATGATCATCGAATTCCACAACGCGATGTTTCTCTCAGGCATTTCATCAAACACCTCTCTAGCTCGCTTCAAGTGACCGTTTTGCACGTACCCACTAACCATAGCGTTCCAAGAAATGACACTACGATCCGGCATCGACTAAAACAACATCCAAACCTTATCCAGTAGCCCATGTTTCGCAAACCCGGTCAACAAAATCATCCAAGTCACGAATTCTTGCCGTTGAACGCGTTAAAAAGCGTTTGGGCTTCGTACAATAGACCGTTCTGGGTGTAGCCGGTGATCATGGAATTCCAGGAGATGGAGTCTCGTTGGGACATTGAATCAAATAACTTGCGTACCTCTTGAACTTCGCCGAGTTTGGCGAGTTGCTGAATCTTGTTGTTGCATTGGATGAGATGGGTTTGTGTTTGTTGGAGCGGTAGAGGAGGAAAAGCTGATGAGAGGGAGCGAAAGTGAAGGTGACGATGTTGAAACATGGAACATAGTGGGACGCTTGTTTAGCAAAAAAACAAATGAGTTTGAAGAGAAAATCCGGCAAGTTGGCGAATGAAAGCTTTTTACCTTCCAAGAATATTTGAAGGCCAAAAAAGAATCCGGGTCGAGCAATTTATTCTGTCCAATCAGGGCATCTTCAGGCTAACTCTGTAAATTTTAGAGTCGGTAATTTCAGACACGGCATAATAAAATGATACAAAAACGATACAGATAAATAAGTTTAAATATTAATTAGATTGTTAACAGATTGTAAAAAAATAACACAAAAAAAAATGAATTAAATTCGTGTAAACTCATTTAACATGCTTAATTCATTTAATTATATGAGTCGTTATTAGACTAACACGACACGATACGACCCGCTCGTTTAAACTCTTTCACAATACGACACGACACGATACGACTTTGCCGCCTCTTTCACAACCTCTCTCTCAAACTCAAATTAGGGATTTTAGTTGTTGTTTGGTTAGAAAATTTATTTTCTGATTCGAATTATAATTCGTGATTCGTTATAATATTTTTTCTTATAAAAAATATACGTAAATAAAAAATAATTCTAATCACATGATTTTAATACATAAAACTAAACGTCTCCTCCTAAGGTTTCACCCCTCTCTCTCTCTGCCTCGCTTTCTTCCTTACTCTCTTTCTCTCAGTCCTCTTATCTTCTTTTCCCCTTCTTCATTTAATTCTCTTCCTTGCACCCAAGCTTAGTCCTCGATCTTCTTCCTGACATGCAAAGGGTCTTCTTCTCGACTTCACCTTTTTCTCCTCGGCGTTTAGCTTTGCTTCTTCTCGGCGTGACTCGGCGTTTAGCTTTACTTCTTCTCGGTGTGTGGTACTAATTTCGTCTGGTCTGAGCTGTGGGTTAGTTTCTATATATTCACAAACATATATATGTATATATCTGTGTGCTATTTTTTTTCTGATTTTGAAATTTTCTCCGTCCTTTCTCTAACCCTATTTCAAAATTTTGCTCTTCTTCATTATCAATCAGCTCCAACTTTTGCAGTTACCTGTCTTTGCAACCCAATCTTATATGTATTTGTAACAAGTAAAACTCTTTCTCTTTTGAATTTTCTGATATTAATTATATATGGATATGAGGTACTACACTTTTTTTTTCTTTTGGTTTTTGGTTTTTGTTTTTGTTTTCCTATGTATTGATTCGAGATAAATATGAAAAAGAAAATTGTTTTGTTTTTGTTTGTTTTTTTTTTTTTTTTTTTCTCTTAAAAGTATACGAACTGGTTTGGACTTTGGAATAGAGAAATTATATATGGTTGTTTTTTACCATCTGGATATCACTAGTTCTTGATTACGTTACTTGCCAATTTTTATTATTGTTATTGATATATATGCGATTATGAGAGTGTGGCGTGCCTTTTTGTGGGTGTGGTATCTTGTGTTTGTATTTTATTTTTTGTTTTGTTTTTTCCTTTTTTTTTTTACTTGGAAATAACCATTTTTGTGTCCACAAATTAGAGGAAAAAGCTAGGATTTTGTTTCTGTTTTTTGGTTTGTGAAAGCTTGGTTTTTTATTTTTTTATTTTTTTATATGTGATTTGGTTTTCTGTTTTATAATGTACTAATATTGTATTTTGTTTTTGGGCAGATGAAAGAACAGAGTGGAAATTGATTTGAAGAAATCGAGTCCCCAAATGTTTATGTTTGTGGTTGTGGATTGATTGATAAACTATTTTTTTATTTGTGAGATGTTTTATGTTTGTGTTTCCTTTGATTTGTAACTTAGATTAATTATATTTGCTATTATCTCCCTGTTGATATATTTTTTGTTATATGGAAATAGAAAACCAATTTTTGTGTCTATATCATAACCCAAACAAAAGTCTGATTGATTCTTTGTTTTTTTTCCCTAACTTTTAGATGAATGATATGCAAAATGGTGTTAAAGTAAATCTAGAGTCAAGCAGCGCTAGTGCATCCGCCACTGCATTGAAGATTTTTACATTTCTTATCTTACAAATAAATTGTGGTATTACTAAATGCATAGAATAATATTCACCGCTTCAATTGTGTTATAACACTGCCACTATGTTTGGTAGGAGAGAAAGAGAGAGGTGGACCGAGCATCCCAATCTATTGTTTAGTTAGAAAAAAGGAGGAAGGAGATGAGAGGTGGAAGGATGTAGTCTCTCACATAATCTACTAAATAATGGAAGGATTCAAGCGATCAATCATTTTTTAACTTTAAATAAATTATTAACAAATATTGTAACTAGATAATATAATAATTTAACAAATAAGCATCATTCACTCTTTCACCTCTCACTCTATCCTACCAAATAACACGAAAGATAACTAAAATATTCTTCATCCTTCTTACACTCCATCCCTCTAACTCTCCATCTCTCCAACTCTATTCGTCCTTCGTAATCTCTATCTCTCCAGCCAAATATAGTGTACAAGACAAAGAAGAGTTATAGAATAAACATTAGTAGTTATATGTGGAAGTATTTTGAAAAAATTAGCTGCAAGTTTTAATTGGAAGAGCTATTTTTATTTTTCTTTTACAGTTACTACTTCCGCAATAGATATTGCATTGTCTGATGGATTTCTTTGTCCAGTCTGGACCTGATGAGAGAAGTATTCCTGGAATTACTATAGCCGTTCAAGCTGATATGCCTTTGAGTGGTTTGACTACTTTTGGAGGGGCATTCTTATCAAAATTTATGTGCTCCCAGATGCCAAATCCTGTGAATTTGAACTTCTCATCTTGTATAAATTATCATAGATAATTTATTCATTGTCATTTTCATTATTCTTCTTCATTCTAATCTTTTTCTTTCACACTTGTAGTTTCTTGATGAAATTACATTTGTGGATACTCCTGGTGTATTATCTGGAGAAAAACAACGAATGCAGAGAAGTTATGATTTCACTGGTGTTATTTCGTGGTTTGCTGCGAAATGTAATCTCATTCTTCTTCTGCTTGATCCTCGTAAACTGTAACAACCCGACTTCTTGAGCCACTATAAAACTTGTTTAAACGTAATTATTTAACTTGATTAGCTTCTTAGTTACTAAAATTTCAGGGAATTTTTTTTTAAATTAATTATTTACTAATACTCGATATACAGAATCCTAATAACAGAATTTAGCGATTAATATTCTTACAGTTTCAAAATAACATTTTATATAATTTACATAGTTTATTACTAGTCTTTACTTGCTCTTAATAATGCATAAGTTAGTCATAAACTAACTGTTAATAAGACAAAACATTTTAGTGGAAGTATCCCAAGTATTAGATATGTATAACTCAAAATATTTGTGGCTGTGGAATTTATAAACTTGTGGATCGCGGCATCCAAAATCCGGGTCTCCATCATCTTATGTCACTTCAGTCAGTCCATCAAAATGCATCAGATAATGAGTTTCTTATCCGTATTACCTACAACATTGACATGACTATGGTGAGTTTAAAAGTCAGTAAGTACAAATTGTAGCCTCACGATGATTAAAATAAAATTCATGACCAGTTATGAATTTCTAATTATGCTTCTTATCTTTTATGAGCCCTGTATTCGTACCGGGTGTGCGCGACCAATTGGGAGTCAGGGGAGCAACCCTCCAACTGTACCCAAGGTCACAATTGTATTGTTTTATAAAATTCTCACCTAGTAGAGATTGGTACGACACTTAATTAAGTTTCATTAGCTTACTTAGTGAACATGCTTGCATGATGTCATAAATAGCAATTATTGCATATTAAATAGACATAAAATAAATCATGTTGACAAACATAGCATAACACAACATAGATTCATACAAGAACAAGCAAGTTCAATGTTGTATGTGAGATTTTTACTTACTTCGATTCCGTGCAAGCGTTATCCTAAGTTTACCATCGCCTGCTATTTCAATCGGTATCGTGTCCTAATTCGATTTAAGATTCGACTGTTAATTATAAATTGCATGATTTGTTGATAGACAAAATTTCTAATTAATTTTGGATTCGTTTATAACTTATCGAATTTTTAGTATTATTCTCATAATTTAATAATTAATTTTCTCAAATTAATTATTCTTAATTTCCGTATTGACAGTTAATCTAATTATTATGTCTTATGAGATTTCTTATAAACTTACCCATACTAATTGGATTATTATTATTATTATTATTATTATTATTATATATATTTTTATCTTAACAAAAATCTTAATTTCCTCTTATTACTTAACGTAAAACCGGTTTAACGAGTAACTTCTCTATTTTGCCTCCAGCTTAATTTTAGGATTTCCCATTTCATTGATCGGGTCCTACAATTTGACTAAAACCACATTTTACATTTTAAAATATATAAACAAATTTAAAATCACCTTTAAAAGTGTTTGCACAAAACATCAATTTACGAAGTTACTTTATTTTAGTCCCCCTGTAATTTTGAAATTAAGCCACTTAGCCACGGTTTTTGAAATTGGATTTTTTACAGGGTTTTTAAACTGTCCTCATGCTGTCCAGAGTGCTGTAAAAGTGTTGCAATACTGCAATTTTTCAAACTTTACAAAAGTGACCCGGTTTTAATAATTTTTCACATTTTAGTCCTTTACCGAGTTTTCATTAATTTCTAAGGCTCAAAATCAATTTCCAGCACATTTCATGCTCTTTTAAAACTATTTCCAGCAGTTGAAAACTGTCAAAATACTGCAGAAAATAATGCTTCCATTTTTGCCACCGTTTTTAACTATTTTGGCGATTTTACCCTTAATAACGGATTTCAACGTCACTAAACCAATTTGCAAATTTTTCCCGCCAAAATATAATATAAAGTCTGTTATACAGTCATGGATCTGCCATTGGAGCATTTTTGAAAAATTCATCCGGTAGATATTTTGTTTTGCGTTTTTGACCTAAAATAGCCAAATCTTTACACTTTAGTCCTCTTAGCCATTTTAGTCAAATTTCTTAGGGTTTCTTAAACACCAAATTACTGTCAAAATCCTGTCTTTATACAAATTTTTTTCAACATACATAGTTTCAAAATTTTAAGTCCAAAAATCAATTTTTACTAATTTTTAACAATGCACCTCATAACATGCCAAATTCGAGGGTAAGTGATAGTACATGGGTAAGGTCATCTAGATGGCATAAGCAAAAAGATGGTAGATGACTTAAGTTTATCCAATGGCTTTTGTTTATCTCCTATTTCTTCCTTAAACAAATGAGGTTGAAAACCTCTCCCTCTGTTGCTTCACTCTCACGTCCACAGCACACATTTTTTTTTTTTAAATTTTTAATTTTTTTTTTAATTTTCTACCACATATCCCACACATTAATCAAACCTACCACTAATCCTAGCCACTCATTTAAAAGGGGTCTTGCAAACTTACATAGAATGTGTCTTAAACCTCTTTTTTTTTTTTGACACTGATTATTAATTTCATTCTTAACACAAATCCATACTTACTAAATTGACTTCTTAAAAGTTAATTTAATTCAAATTTTGGACTTTGGCATGATTTAAATGTAATGGGTCCAATTTCAATAGTGGACCATTTTGGAATAATTTTGTCACACTTAAGAACATTAAATCCTTGTGACTTCATAGTTGAACATACTAAGATAAAATGCACAATTGAAATTTAATGAAACTTAGATTGATTTAGTGAAAAAGATGTATTCACCAATTTTCATCGTTCAAAATATCGAACTTACAAAATGTGATTGCGAGAAAATTCATTTTCTAAATCTTAATTAATTTTAAGATTTAACTTTTAAATTTTCCCGGCATTACATAAACTAGATATTAGTGATGAATTCAAGCAGGTAATTTCATCTCTACGTGGTCACAATGACAGGGTCCGTGTGGTTCTAAACAAAGCAGACTAAGGGGGCGTTTGGTGGAGGGATTCGTTCCCTGATTCGAATCATAATTCGTGGTTCGCTACAATATTTTCTCTCATAAAAAATACACGTAAATTAAAAATAGTTCGAATCACATAGTTTGAATCCTCTAACTAAACGAACCCTAAGTCGATACCCAACAGGTAAATTTACCTTTGACTTTTGTTGACGAATTTTTCTTTTTTTGATTTTAGCTGATGAGAGTATATGGAGCATTGATGTGGTCACTTGGAAAAGTGCTGAATACTCCAGAGGTTGTGCGTGTTTATATTGGGTTGGCTCTTTTCGTTAACTGATAATTTTATCCGGTGCCTATTTTGTGATTGGACATTGGACTCCAATCTTTTATCTAAATTTTCTCTTTAATTTCTTCTCTTTGTAGTTCATTCAATGAAAAACCGATCAACGAGACAGAATCTCTTTGAGAAAAAACGCGATGATCTCCTTGCTGACTTGGTCGATATTCCAAAGAGGGCTTGCGATCGTCGCGTATGACCGTATTTTTCTGTTCAATTTTGTTACTTGTGACAGTGCTATGTATGCTTTGATTTTTAAATTCGTAAAACTTGTTGTATAAAGCTAATGATTGTATCATACAGATCAATGAATTTGTAAAACGTGCCAGAGCTTCTAAGTAAGAGATGCCTGCAATTATGGGTAAAGTTAAGACGCAACAACGACTCATAACAATGTAGAAGAAGAATTTGCAAACCTATCTTTCTTTACTTTTTTAAGTATATAGAAAAAAAAAAAAAAAAACTTGTATTGTTGAGTCGTGTGAGTCCTTTTGGCTCTCCTTTTATGTTTTGGGCTTTGGTTGGCTTAGTTGGGCTTCATGTTTGGATTGTTTATTTTGAAAGTGTCAAGAAAAATTGTAAAGCTGTTGTTTGAGTC